CTGTTTACAATATATACTGTTTTCACCACTTTGCTTGTTTTGTGTGCTCTAGATGGCTGTCAGTCTGTGCATTAGTGGTGGGAATTTTTCTGTATCTCTTGACCTTATCAGGTCTGGTCTTTACCACCTCTGACATGCTGCAGCTTATTCTGGTTAACAAACACCCACTTAGACAGGAAGATTGTCAGACAGACTGTGATCAGTGACAATATGTTTAGTTCATATGCCATTTGAGGTAGTTCTTGGCAGTTTGACAATGTACTTTTAGTTTCGTATGCAGTATGCAATAGACATTTATGGCACAGACTGAGAATGGCCTGAGAATGTGCCATTTGACACTGAGATGTAGGCTAAATTCAGACTAGCATATTAATCTTCTGGCATTTCTGGCATTGTAAGAGTAGTGTACAAGTGGCCTATGCTGTTTCAATGTTAGGGTAATGCTTACTTTATCCTCCACTGTTAGTGACAAAGGACAGCCTTTATGAGTCCTTCAGTCATTTACTCAAAAACACAGCTGTGTTGATCGGAGACACTCAACAGATGATCGTGCTTTGGCTTTTGTTTGAAAGGGTTTCAATGAGACTTGATGATGAGAACTTCATGTTTGCACAAGATCTGTGTTCGCATATAGCCTTATTCACAACAGAAAAAAGAGGTTTTCTGCTTGTATCTAGTGGTAGCCATTGTGTTTCACTGAAGTCATTCATTGAAGTCAGAAGCCTGATGACCCACATCGGTCTCCACTGTCAACCTGTTTGCTTCATTATGGAAATCCAGTACAAATATTTTCCTTGGAGCAAAACCAAGGCACCAAAGCATAAATTCTGAATACAAGATATTCAAGTATTTTCTTATTTCAGGAAGAGCTCATTTTTTACCTCTTTGTGCTTTTGCAAATGTTTAGTTAATTATTTAGAAGAAAGTAAGCGTAAAACGGTTCGGTTGCTAACAAGCTTCACAATATTATAATGGAAAATTATCTTTCTGGCATCCCATCTTGATTGTCAAAAATCAGTCATTTGAATTATTTTTTTTGTACCCAGAACTAAATATGTTGGAAATTATAATCATTAGAATGAATCCGATGCAAATTGTTAATGGCAACATTTGAATGAATTTGCCTATTGCCCATTGGTTTTTATGAATAATAATTCTGCCATATAGGCCGTTGTCATTCAAAATCTGTACGGCTTTTTTCTATCTATATTTGATATGAAAATACTCCTTGTGACATCCCAGATGTATAGACTTTCTTATTCAAATGAACACAACTGAAAATAATACATTTGTGAGTCTCTATGTTGTGAGGGATTATAGGTTCTGAAATGATGATGCTCCAAAAAACACAAACAGTAGGTAAGTCTGAAAAATACAAATATTTTAAACCTATTAACTATAATCCATGGCTTTTCCCATTCCATTTTGGGTAATTGGGTAATATATGAATTGTTTTGCATTTTGTATACTTTGATAACTTGATGTTATCTTTATTTGATAATATTCTTGGTGGTTTAGTGGGTAAGGTAACACTTTCTACTTCCTAACTGTAGTAAGGCAACCCTGCAATCTCTATGACATATGTCTATGATCTGATTTAAAGCGAAATATTTTCATTTTCAAACAATGATTTACAAGTCAACTTTCGACAATGTAAGAAGATGTTGTTTCCTTTATCAGCCACTAGATGGCACTAAAGACGCATTTTCATTAATTATTGCCATCGTGCATGCCAGTGTTCCTATATGTTTCACTTTTTTTAGTGTTGATTTTATTCTAACCTTCTTGGGTGCAAAATGTGATTCTACCTTTGGGGAAAAACAACAACAAGGGAAACTAGATGAGTAAAGTTCGCAGACGAACTTTGAAGTTGGCTTGAGAAAGCCTTGTCTGAAAGTTTGAAATAGTTTTGAAAAGCTTAAAGTTCAATTTTAATTGTTGAAACTGAAGTTTGGGACAGAGTGGCAACACACATGTTTCTAGCATGAATTAGCATGTTGCTAGCATGATTTACCATGAATTAACACGTCACTAGTGAGATTTTACATGAATTAGCATGTTGCTAGCATGATTTAACATGTCTTTAACAGTTGCTAGCATGTCTATAGCATGTTTCTAGCATGATTAGTATGTTTTTAGCACGATTAGCAAGTTAATAGCATGTTGGTAACATGTTTATAGCATGATTAGCATGATTCTAGCATGATTAGCATGTTACTAGCATGTTTCTAGCATGATTATCATGTTAATAGCATGTTGCTAGCATTATTAGCAAGTCACTAGCATGTTTCTAGCATGATTAGCATATTAATAGCATGTTGCTAGCATGTTACTATCATGTTTCTAGCATGATTAGCAAGTCACTAGCATGGTTCTAGCATGATTAGTATGTTACTAGCATGTTGCTAGCATTCTGCTAGCATGTTTCTAGCATGATTAGCATGTTACTAACATGTTTGCTAGCATGTTTCTAGCATGATTAACATGTTACTAGCATGTTGTTAGCATGATTAGCAAGTTACTAGCATGTTGTTTGCATGTTTCTATGCTAATACAGTTAAAACCAGTTAAAACCAGTTGATTCAGTAAAAAAAACAGCTACAAACCAGCTTCTAACATGTTGTTAACATGATTAGCAAGTTACTAGCATGTTGTTTGCATGTTTCTATGCTAATACAGTTAAAACCAGTTAAAACCAGTTGATTCAGTAAAAAAAACAGCTACAAACCAGCTTAAAACCAGCTAAACCCAGTTGATTCAGTAAAAACCCAACTAAAACCAGCTTAGGCTGGTTGCCTAGTCTTAACTGGTCTTTTAGTAGGTCTCACAGCTTGACCAGCTAAGACCAGCTTGACCAGCTAAAAAGTTGCCAAAACCACTTTAAAACCAGCCTGGGAGATCAGCCAAAGCAGCCAATCAGCTTAGGCTGGTTTTAGCTGTTTTTTTCAGTAGGGAGTTTTTAAGCTTTGCTATGGCAGTAGACAGCTTAAATACACCATAAGTCTCATTTTATAAAAGTTTTCACACCCTCAATGAAAGTCTATGAGAGTTTGGCCAATTTAAGCATCCATAAACAACGCAAAACACTGGCATTTTGAGTTTCTGCTAGTGATTCCTATAGAGAAAAATCACTTCCTGCCCTCCAGCTGCATTTCGGCGTCATCAGTGACGTCATGTGCAAACAACCTATTAGTTTAAATGGATTAGAAATAGTACATAGAAGGGAAGCTGCATTTAGTCTCAATGGATTCTGGGAGTTTACATTTGAAAGTTTGATAGCTGGAGTTTGAATAGTCTTGGCTCATCTGAACATTCCATCAATGTAAGTCTATGAGATTTTAGGTGGTTTTGATAGTCTGGTTTACGAAAACCATAAGTCGGATCAGTTAGAAAAGATATAGCATATCGAGTCAGACCAGTCTGAAGGTCTGACCCGAGTTTGGTGTTTGTAGCTTGAAAGCTGTAGGAGGAGATAGTGTTTAAATTTTGGCTCAGAGGAATAATAATAAGTTTAAAGGGGTCATATGATGCAATTTCAAGTTTTCCTTTCTCTTTGGAGTGTTACAAGCTGATTGTGCATA